TTTGTCATTATACTCATACACAGGTATATGGTATAACGAAATGCTATTTAGCTAGCTCTCAGACGGTAAGTAGTATAAAAAACAACAATACAATTGTATATGAAAAGAAAGACGGAGACAACAGGCAATTTGCAAAACAACATCAGATAATGTTGTAGAGGAAGATGAAGATCACTTTATTGGCCATATACAGTATCTTGTATTAGGATTTTTTTGGCGTAACCCAGCTTGCTCTCCATGAGATACACAGACAGGTAGAGAACCTTGGGGTCAGAGTGCAGGGTCAGCCATTTATACGGCGCCCCTGGGGCAGTTGGGGTTAAGGGCCTTGCTCAGGGACCCCACAGAGTAGGGATACAGGATATGCAGGATACGAACTGACAACCTTCCAGCCACAGGTGCAGAACCTTAGCCACAGAGCCGCTGCACCGTGGAGATGCCAGGGATTGAACCCGGGACCTTACACATGCGAAGTGCGCACTCCACCACTGAGCTACATCCCCCCAAGTGTTCAGAAGCAAGGTGGGAGCAGAGATGGAAGGCTGTGACACACTCCTGCTTCCTGCTGCAGGCATGTGATGTCCAGCAGATACGCAAGTCATTACGTGGCAATGAGTGAACCTTGAAACGTTCTGCTGGGAGGTCTTTGAATACTTGTTCCCCTGCAGTCCTTCATGTGCTGTCATTAACGTGATGGGTGACTGTGGGGTTTGATCTGAATATGGGCTCCATGTTGTTGCGTTCTCTGAACTGCAATGCTGCCGTGTGCAGATCTGCCCATGTTTTTTTGTTGATGCCCTGCTTTTTGTTTTAAATGGAAATAAGAAGCAAATTATTTCTTCAGATGAGTGTCTGAAATGTTATTACGAGGCCCATGGCTTCTCCTGGATACTGCCTCCCAGTTCCGTGAATTAAATGCCTGTTGTAATAACTTCATGTGAGCAGTTTGTCCCTTTAAGTTCTGCTGTATATGTTCTGCTGCAGGGGTGTAACTGAAAGCTGCAAAATCCTTGGTGAGACACTTTTCTACCTGGTACTGCAAAATTAAAGTCCCTTGTTCTGCTCCTGCTGCTGAAATCCATGCATTCTCCAGCTTGGAACAGCAACCAACTTTTTGGATAGAATTGTGTTGGCCTGTTGCGGAAAGCTAATTCCTCTAAAGTTGAAATGAAGTGTTTTGTATAGAGTTTTACTTCAAAAGCATGTATTAGACAACCTGTGATAGTCAAGTACAAAACTTCAGGATAAAATTTAAAGTTCTATTCAGATAACATAGATTTTAAATAAAAATAAAATAAAATGTAATCGCTATAAAGTGTCTTTTTTTTTGGGGGGGGGGGTGTAAGAAACAAATACTTGTTAATAAAAATGAATTATTACATTAATCTTATGACCCTGAATGGGATGGTTAGAAGATGGGTGGAATTACTGTACATTAGTGGAACGCTGGGTGTTATATTCCCAGACACAAAAGGAGACACTGAATAAAGTTTACTTCTTCATTAAAACTGAGATAATTTTAGTTAATTTTTAACAATTTCTCCAATAACTCTAGTTCTGGTGGTATTTATCCGATAGGATTGTCCCTGGTATGAGATGACCTTCTCTAATGATAAAATCACAGGTAATTACAGGTTGCTTAGCTATTAAGTGCTCCTTATGGTGCACATACTTTTACAGTATCAGGCACATTTTTCTTGCATAGATGAGATGGGTGAATAGAGCTATACATAGAACAGGGATAATTGCTTTTTAATAAAGTAAAATAAATACATACTCGTCTGTAATCTCAGACTATAGTGGTTTGAAATTGTACACTGAAGGTAATATGTCAGTATATGGAGATTGTTTTAGATTGTTGCTTTGAGTTCATTACATGTACAGAAGGTGTTGATATAGCACAGGTGCACTTAAAGATGTATTTCCCCTTCTTGGCAACAGTTAATTAAATACCTCAACAGTATCTCAGTATATCTTCTAGTGGGAACACTTTCATGTTTACCACTTCTTCTTAAAAGGTAAATTTTTCAGACCAGGAAAAAAAAACTAATATGTCACAGACCTTTACAGTTGTCTGTTATAAAGGAGAAATCATGAGGGTGACATTTTGAGGTTATTGTTTTGTGTCTTTCTTGTATCTGGAGCCCAATCACTGCTGTGTAACACTGCTTGTTTACTGGGCTGTTCTTTTGGTTTAGAATTAACCCTCTTTTATTGATGGTGTACTTTTTAAATTTGTTCGTATTCTGTTGTTGGAGAGATGCGTGTCCTTATCAACTGGGCACAAAGGCCTGTTGCGCACAAGTGATTCAGACCTTTAAGTCCTGTAAGTGGTAAAATCTTTATAATGTAGTTCAGCATGTTTTTCTTTTTTAATTGGACATGTCCTAGTTCATTGTTATACAGTGCGATACATTGATGCGATTTGGGCTGTGCTCTAAACCAGCTGCCCTTCCGGTCAGCTGCTCTCAGATGATTCCACCCTATTCTAGTCTGAGTTATGAAATGGGCAGATGTCAGCTTAATCTACACATAAATATTAGCACTTATTATAATTAGCAACAAAGGGCTGTACAAATGATAAGATGTACAGTTTATGATATACTCCCTTTTTTGGGCACGGTTGTTTTTAAATGACAAGCTATTTTCAGCTGGGTGATCCAGGCAATCTTGGTAACCGTTTTGAAAATGATCCAAAGAAGAAACAAATTTATCATGAAATCAGTCTTTTGCTGCTGCTACTTTAGCTGAGGGATAATTCAAACAAAACAATTCTGAGTCATCACATTTTATTTTTTTTACATGAATCTTTGCCAGCAAGATGGAAACAAAAACTGATTTTATATCGGTAAGAAACTGACACAGTAGATTTTATTTGCATCTGTATTCATTCATTTGGCAGATGCCTTTATCCAAAGAGACTTTCAATACCATCCGGTCAAGATGCAACGGTTGCAGATAACAGTAGTATTTATGCAGAAATTTTTGTTTCATTGTTTGGAAGAGACAGAGCAGGAAAATCTGAATAATAACATTATTAGCATTCAATAACTGCCATGGAAAAGGCGTTGGTGCTGTGTCCCAGAACATTTTAATGCAAGTTCAATGCATTCTAGGAGATACTGCAAATTAAATCTACTGCCTAAGGTCTCTGTTTATTTTCTATTTTAAATGAGTTCATTGTTCCAGTAGCATGCTAGCTTTTGTTTGACGTTTTTCACAATTCGTGGCGTTCTTGACTGAGAGCTATTATGGTAGAAGCTTCAGTAAATTATTTTTTGCACCTTCAAACATCCTTTCTTCTTTTTGTGCTCGAAGTTCGTTGGTGCGAGTTTGAGAGAGCTTACAAGCCTGGTGTTTCATGACATTGATTATTTAGGTCTTAGGAAAAGAAAGTGCTATATTGCAGGTTGGTATGTGGCCCCCAAGGTCTTTGCGTGCTTGTGTAAGTACAAAAGAAACACTGCTCCCTAATTAACAAGGAGTTCTTCGCAAAATTTAACGTTGCCAATTCTATATTTCAACTAGGTATTAATAAAATACAGTGCCGTAGGTTACGTCGTGGATCAGAGTCGTAAGGCTTCATCTATCAGGGTTTTCCCCCAGGTGTCACACCTTATTTTTATTAGTATTAAACATCACCTTGTCAGCAATTCAGATATGACAGTGACACTTCAGATGTTTGAGGTTACAGTACATCTGCATGCTTTAACATGTGTTACCGAGTCATGTGTGAAATATGTACATAATAAAAACAGCATTGTGTCGGGGACATGAGAGTCCATTAATAATGCAGTACTGTATGTAAACTTCCAAATATTATTTACTATAACAGAAGTGACAGCTTCTTTAAGGTGGGGTTTTAGAACAAGGTCAAAACAAGCACAGATCTGTCTAATAAATGTAACAAGGGGAAAATGAATGGTAATGTCTGTATGTAATGACAATACCTAAACTAAACTCGTAGACAATCCTGGAATTATAGGACATGGGAAGACAGTAGCAAACACTGAACTCTTTTATTTTTGCCTCTTTGTTAATATTGTCTTTGTACAAATGTGTAACTTTTAGTTACAGCGTCATTGGATTTACTGAGAATAATAATCCAGGAAGATGATCAGAATAATCCCTCTTAAATGCTAATTTGTTTATTTACTAAAGGACAAAAATGTATTTTTCAGTGCTTCGTGGACGTAAACGGTCTTCTGTTATTTTTCAGTATGTTCCTTTTACTGTTTACATTGCATGCAGGACACCCTTTTGTGTGACGGATTTCATAATAAAGTTCCATGACAAAATGATGGATTTCCTGGGGCACATTCTGTGCTATTGAAGCACAGAATATGAAGGAGCATGTGACAGACAGGGACTGGCTTCTTAGAAGAAAATGATATACGATACTGTGTTTGCAGTTATTGACATATGTGTTTAAACTGTCACCAGAGCTCTGGGCATCTGGTATCATGATATAGTGCTGTATTGATATGTCATGCTACAGTTCCAGGTTTTTTTTCCAGTCATCTGTCAGCATTTTGCTCTGAACAGACATTCGGAAATGTCTGATATCCAGTAAAAATACTTTGTCGTCTTATAATTGCAGTTCGCAATGCAAAGAAATATCTTGGCCCAAACTAAGGTGAAAAAGTATAGTAAACTGGCAACTGCTAGCTTTGTTCTACAATCTCAGGAGAATTATTAGTATTTTTCTGCAGATGACTGATCTGCCAGTTGAGTAGTTTGAATTCAGTTGGCATTATCTTTAGAGCCAAAGCCTTTGGATATAAAATGGACCGCATTTGCGTTTCTGGAATATGTTCCAACTCAACCAGTTGCTTTATCCTCAAAGAGACTTTTGCATTTTACCTCTGAGCTGCCAAAAAGTCTCCTGTAACCAATTTGTCAGTCTCAGGTTGACTTTCAGACACAAAGCTGATTCAGCCAGTTTTCCTTTCACTTTCCTTTCCCTAATAACTTTTTTCTCTTCTTTTCTTTCATGGCAGTAGAAGAAAATGAGACAGAGGACCAGCAGCCTACTGTGGGGCAGACAGCCACTCCAAGCGGTAATGTTATTTCCTTTAATGAGGTTTCATTTATCTTTTCAGAACAGATTTCTGAATTGTATCTAACACAGTTATGCTGACTGTTATATTTATGATGAATTTCAGCAAAAACAAAAATGTAGCCTCATTCATTGCAAAACATAATGCAGCTATTTGCAATACTGAATTATGTTGAGATTCAGAGTGTTTGTCAAATGGCTCTGGTTAGGAAGGGGGTAAAATCAGTGTTGAACTTACCTTCATTATTTGTTTTAGCGATTGGAAGGAATTGCATGTGCTACTTTTCGGTATTTCGTTTAGTCTGATGATTATTGGATTTCTAAAGTGTGATAATGCTTTTGTGTGATGTTTTATGGTTTCAGATCCAAAAAAAGATGTGCTAACCAGTTGAGTGTCTTATGTGTTTCTTCATATGGCTTTCACTGAGCCCTCCAGGAAAAGAAAAATCCAGGTCATGCTTTCAAATGGCCGTTATGAATGAGGGCTGCTACTAATGTAGTTTTTTCTGGTAAAGGTTAGATCTCATGTGTAGTTATTTTAAACCTAATATGGATTACTTTGCCCAGAAGCTGCAGGCTCTATACTCCAAGCTGCCGTAATAAAGTATTAATAAGCTTTTGTCAGGCCACAGAGAATGCTGTTGCATAAATGTGGCACCCAGTGCAGACTGTCTGCATCTTATGGATTTTTCTGATCCATCAGAGGTTTTGCTGCTGCTGTCATCCCTACCAGGGAGATTCAGCATAGCTTGATGAGCCCAGTCCCCGGAGACCAGCTGTCATCCAGCAAACTGTTGCTAATAGGAGGGACTGATTACAACTTCCCTGTCATGTCTAAGTTCTGTATTTAAGTCTCTGCGATAGCAATGTCTTCAGAATCAATGTTGGGTCTGAGCAAATGGCCCTTCTGAGAAAGCCTGTGACATCCTGTATGCGATTAGTTTTCCATACATCCCTCAGTTTGATTTCCCCTAAGTATCGGATTCTGGAAAACTTGTATGCACATGTGTAGATGGTCATTGTATGTGTGATTGAATTTGCATTTTGTGTCTGTAAATATGTACATTTCAAGAAGTCAGTTTTGTGTATTTTTAAAATAAATTTCAAATTTTCCAATTAGCAGTGTCTCTTATTTTGTAATTTGCTGGTTTTTGTCCTCCGGCTAAACTGTCAATACATCTCTACATTGTACAATAATGTCTTACCAGGAATATTGTACACAACTGTCTGTCACACTTAATAAAATTATTTTGCCAGTGGCACCAGCTCAAAAATACCTTCTTTTATCCAGGTAGAAATTAAAAAATGTTATGCAGTAGGTTAGATGTGCAAATTAAGAAATTAGGAAAAAAAACCCATTGGGCTCATTTTTAAAAAATCCTAGTGTTCAAAGTAATCTGTATATCTGTGTATATATATATATCAGTATGGTGTGTATTGTAATCAATTTTAAGCTACTTTTTAGGAATATTGTTCTGATTTGTTTTCAATTAAATGCACAGATTTGAAGTTCTTTGTCCATTAACATGATTGCTAAGTGAATTATTTCAGTAGGTTTTAGAAGGAGTGGTACAATCAGGAACACTTCACTGGTGTTGTGCAGGAGTCATGAATCTTTTCAGTTCTAAATAATGTTTTCTGTTAAGTTCCCATAGTTGATGCACTGCTTCTGTTCAAGCATAAGCTAATTTTTCTATGACTGAAATTGAGGCCTCTTCAAGGGGTTTAATGATGCTGAAATGGCTCACTACACACAAAAATAAACTACAACTTTAATTTATACAATAAAATGTTTTTTCAGTGTTTACAGTACTTAACAGCATATTCATGCTCCGTAAATTGCTTATTGTTGCCTTTCTTTAAATGAAATTGGTGTGTGCCACAGTCCAATTCTGAAATCATGGTGATTGCATTTAAGTTGGGGCAAGCAGATACAGCATTGATCAACTGTATTTAAAGCTTATCTCACAATTCTGTCCCTCCCTTCAGATGATGGGCACATGTGCTGCCTGCTTTGTCACTGCTTCCTTCTGTTAAAGGGAAGGAGATGGACACAAATGCACAAATATTGTAATGAAGCTGGTGCCCAATTTATCTTCAAAGGCCGATAACATTTTTATTTTAGCTGTGTAGTTAGAAGGAGAGTGAAATTAGGGTGAAAAGGGATACTTTTTTCATTTTAGGTTTCCCCTTGTAATCATGAGGGATGCTGTATCCGTGCTGGAGTTTTAAAGCCAAAACAAGACTCAAATAAAAGGGACATAAATATAGAACCTGATGCACCAGAAAGTAGCTTTTTAAAATTTTTAAATTCTACCAATATCATTTATACTCTAAATATAGTATGGAGTTATACCATATTCCCTTTAGTTTCTCCGTAGACTATACATCGCATTGTTTTCTTTGAGCAAAGGTACTGATATACAGTATTTCTGTTGTACAGCATTGGAGGATGGAGAGACATTTAAATTGGAGCTGAGAGAACTGTACCCCAGACCTAGAAAGCACTGTACACTGGTTGAATTAATTTGGTCTTCTAGCGTTTTTGTTCGGATACTCAGTTTAAAACATGGTCAGGCTGCAGGCTCATTGAGATGTACTCATATTAGGGCACAGGTGTGTGACTGTTCCACGTGTTCTTCTCAAGCAGGACTCGCTGTAGAAGGAATTAAATGTAGAAGTTTCATATTGAATATATGATATTCAGAGCATGAGGGGAATTTTCTTCTGTATTAAAGCAATATAAACAGTACAAATGTAACAGTTTCTTCTGAATTGTGAGGTTGTCCTAACTGTAGCAGCTAGATGATAGAAATCTCTAGATGCTCTTTTTACTTTACTTATTTGTATTTGGAAATGTGCATGCGGTACGATGCAGGAATTTGCAACATTTTCATTAAATCAGTCTCCTATAATTCAATTCAAACATCTTTTTGATAACATATCATTAAAAAAATTAATGGACAAAACTGAAACTGTATTTAAATATCTTAGTAAATATTTTAATTTGATGAGAAAATACTTTTCTTACAACTGTTGTCTGGGTGATCTTCAGTATTCTTCCTTGTTTTGCTGCAATGAAAAAGAACTGCCAGATATGATATTGCTGTATTTATTTTTACAAATTACCTTATCTGATAGCTTTCATATTTGTTATATGTGCCATTTTTGTAGGCTTAAAAAAACATGAAGACGTTGTCATAACTAAGTGGAAATTTTGAGAATTGCACTAGAAATGCTCTAATAAGCGTTTAGATCAAAGCGGGTCTCAATAAATAATGAAATCCATCTATTCCTTATTCATTGAACACAATTACCAAGTTGCTGTGAATCTCCAAACTGCCTGGATCCTTGTAACTTATTGAAAACATGGAAATATCTGATGACATAAAGCAGCCAATAAGTTTATAAATTGGCCCCCAGATATATTCTAGCTGTTCTTTTCCTTTATTTTGAAGTGTTACAAGAATAGTTAAGTAAAGGTGCTGTTGTAGGTTTTGTGAAAGAAGGCTTTCGTATATTTAAAACTGAGCACATATATATATATAGTATGATACTCATCTCTGTTGAAAGATTTAATGAGTCTTTTTTTCTGTGTGCTCCATAGAGTGAAGAACCACAGTTTTGCTTTACCACTGTGCTGCCTGTATATAATTATAACCACATGATTCATTTTTTTTATCCTTACTGTGCAAGGTTCCAGCTATTTTCTGGAAATGGATGTCAAATTCACTAAAATGGAGTGGACTGAATTATCTTGCATGCAGAGAGATCTAAAACTCACTGAAGTTCAGAAGTAATACATTTAAAGCACAAAGATCAATCATAGACAGACATGTTTCAGTGGGTTATGTATATGCTGTTATTGAAAGGGAAGTCTCAGTTCATGGCTTCTAAAGTTTATACTGTATTATTCATTTCCTTTCGTCTTCAACTTCTGTTATCGAGTTGCAAGAGCCTTTGTTAAATATTCTCCCACTAAGCAAGAGGGGTCAAAGCCTGCTTCTCATTTGGATTGCTTTGATATATTTTTTTCTTTACCTAGTGTGAAGTTATTGACAGTTGTAAATCTTAAATGCCTTTCATTTTCAGGCATTCATGCTGCCCTGTTTCTGCTTTTGGTTTTAGCTGTAATGTCAGTGTTTTTGGCTTGTGTGTGGGTAATTTTGTTTTCAATAGACTGCTAAAAGTAGGGGTCATTTATACATATCTGTTTTAATTCCTTTATTTTCATCTTCCTTGTTCAATTTTAATAAATTTTATGATGTATTCACTGATTACTATATGTTTATTCTTTATTACAGTGACGTTAACAACAGTTATCATTGTTATGAATATTTTGTTTGCGATATCTGTTGTTAACGAATATGAGTAACTTAACATCACACTTCAAAAACAATGTGGCAAATTTGAATAAGGCTATTCAAAACAAAGTTTTGAAGATTACAGTGTGGCTGTTTCTTTTTATACTAGAACAGAGCTCAGTGTCATTTTTGATCCACAAATAAATTTGGATTCTTATTAAATATTTATATCATATATCTCTGTATTTGTAATGACATTCATGAATCAAAGTGATTTTTCATTGAGTTCTAATTAATTTCCTGTATTCCATTGCAGAAGGCTTAAGCACTCTATATACACTATATATCAGAAATAAATGTAGCATCAGTAATGCACAATATTGTCTTGTGCTGAAATACTGAATCACAGGATCGCACTGCCTGAATTTGGCCTGTTGTATGTTTCTACGAGCACCTTCAAATGGGTTGTTGCTCAGTTTTTATTTACATATCAAGTAATTCTTATAAATTCTGTAATTATGTTGAGCCTGTTTTATTCTCTCAGACATTTTGTGGCCTAATCCTAAAGTATTTTGTGATATTTAATATGAATTATATGAAGCTTGATGTACTGCCCAGTTTGTTCATTTTCTCATACACAAGTGATCCAAATAATGAGGACATCTGGACAGTGGACTGAAATACAACCAAGCAGGCAGAATCAGATTAAATATAATTTTAGATGACGTATTAATATTGATTATGTGTAACAGTATTCTCAAAGGAATGAGCAATGAATATTAAGTTTTGTTAAAAAAAACAGTTGCACTAACTCTAGACATTCTGTCACAGAAAACTTAACACTTTATGAGTGTCTAGTTGTGCCTGGTCTTCCTGTCGATCTCTTAATGCACATGCATGTTGGGCAGCAGTGTTGTTTGATTTCATTCTCCCTTCAGGCACGTCCTTGTGTCAAGCACCCAGGAGCGCTGGACATTGACTGTAAGTCCGGTGGTTATTTTCCCTGAGGTTTAGTCTAGCTGTGTGTTTTTAATTCTAATTTTGTAATTATGAGGTTGAAAATTAAACCTTTCAACCCCAAGTCTGCTTCCTAATCGTCTATTTATATTGCACAGTGCGCATGGCAATCCCTAATCCCGAATTGTTTCAGCACATATGGCCACTACACCATGTTCTTGCCTATCCGGTTTTCCTTTTCACATAATTTTCTCTCTGAGATGAAAAGTTCAGACGTGGTGGCTTTCATGTTCAGGAGCCACTGATCTTTTGATAAATATCCTGCATTCGCATGCAATTGTGATTGTTTCCTTACGCTGAAACATTTTGAGGTCCGTTAGCCACCTTTGAGCTGGAATAATTTAATTGAAATTCAAAGTGTGACAAAAATGGGTAGCTCTCAGAAGAGCGCTGTTAGGAAGTATTATAGATATTACTGATATTAAGAAACAACAATAGGAATAGAACAGCTGTTTTTTCTTTTTTTTTTCAAAAGTTATGAAAACTGTTTTCTAGCTTAGTATGAAGCTACAAGAAAGTTTCTGCCTCTGGAGTACTGTGGTGGCAGGTGCTTATTTAATGCTGTTTCACATAGGTGCTCCAGGGGCACTGTACAATGGCTGACCCTGTGCTCTGACCTGTCTGTGTGTATGTGTCTCATCGAGAGCAAGCTGGGGTATGCGAAAAGACAAATTCTAAATGCAAGAAATTGTATATGGCTATCCAATTGTGATCTTAATCACTTAACAAGAAGTGATCTTATCTTATAATGTGGGTGAACACTGGAGCAGGAAAGTTGATAATGAAAGAACCTTATGGACTTTCTACTTTGCTTTATTGAACCTTCATGTTTTTTATTTCCAAAATATATACTTAACATCTTTAGTTTCTCTTTTTTGGAGCACTTCTAAACATTGCAAAACTAGTGAATTCTGTCACTATACAAATTACCTATCTGTAGTTATTTTTATGAGTAGGAACCTACTTTTCACTACTTAAGTTTAAAACTGTACTGTTATTAACCACAAAGTAGTACTAAAAGTTTCACTTTTAAATAAATGAGAACTATCCATATGAAATATTTTAATAATCTGATATTTCAGATTCAGTGCAGATTCTTCAGATAAGATGGAAAGTTATAACCTTTGATTATGTCTGTGCTGACATCTACCCTCCCATAACGAGAATCTAAGTAGAAGTCATCTGGTGATAAAAATGAATACTTTAGCTGAGCTTTGATGAGGGAAAAAGGGCAATGAGTTTTAGATTCTAGCTTGTTGGGAGGATAAAAATCTGGCGATTGAATTACTGCCTGAGGATTTTCACAGGTTACATTTTGTCACATAGATTCTGGTTGCCATGTTTACATACTGGCCATCCATGACACTTATTATACCCATTTCTTAAATGCATTAAAATGTTCAATGTGCGTGAAAAAAGTTGCCTGAGAATGACTTGTAACTGATTTTCATTTTTGTGCCTGTGTTCCTGGGTTCTTTTAAGTTCAGAAGGATTTATCAGTTGGAGTGAGTTGAGAATATAACCAGTGGGTGCAGTGCAACATTGGGGGGGGGGGATCTAGCCCAGAGAATGGTTTAAAGTTTTGAGCCCCCCAAAAAGCCACTGCTTTCTTCTGTGTTTTTAATGTTGTGTGCCTTGATCTGCTGCCTTCCGAGGACAGAGATCTTGCTTTGCCAGCGCTGCTGCTTTCCGATTGGAGCTAACCTAGAAACGCGTGCAGTTTTGCTCATTTCCATGCGGTGCGGCGAGGCGATGAGGTGCAGGGCCTCTCTTGGGGGGCTGGAGAATTGGCAGGCAGCAGCTGCAGGGGGGCCTGTGGCTACCGGCGCCCCTCCTTCCAGCGGGAGACCCCGTGGGGTGATGGGGAGCGAGGGACCTGTGGGGGAGAAGGAGCAGAAAGAGAACATCAATTAAAAAACTATAAATATTAAAGAGCAGAAACATTCAGCAAGATGAGGGGGGAAAAAGCAACTCACAACATTAGATGAAAGTTATCTGGTAATAAATGTCACCTCACACCTGAGAGTTTACGATGATGAATTGGTGTCTTCAGGTCGCACACTGAACATTAAGTAAGCCGTGAAACGTTTCAATATGAGCCATTTCAATTCTTTCTAATGAGTGTACTCAAACGAAAAAAATCTGCATTAAAGCAAAATGTGCAGTATCATTATGTTCTTAGAAGCACAAGGTTTGTCTTGTGCTTTGTCTTAAATTAAGCACTGATTTCAGTTAAGAAGCAATCTTCAGATAACTTCAGAATGTTTTGCTATAAATGCAAGTATGTAAATGTACATTGGAACAATTAAAGGTTCATTCCACGCTGAAAAGAGAAGGAAAGAAACACATTGTTTTGGCTGTGGAGCCTTCTTCGGGTGTGAGAGAGTGGAAAAAAGTCAGGAACTAATAAAGCATTGGAGCCCAGGGAGGAGGAGGAGGAATGACGAAGAGATCTAGAAAAAGATTTGGAGGAAGACATAGTGGGTTGCTGCAGAAGTAGGCTGAAGTGTACATTGTATGTAAATGCATTGTGATGTGTCTGTCTACCTGGGACAAATGACCATTGAAGAATTTTGGGGTCTTTTAAGATTGTTTAGGTCAGAGTTTTAACCTTGACGTGCTTCACCGATGACACAGTCTCTCATGTGCCTCTAGATTCTGATGCAGAATCTCAATCAATAGATGTTGAAGCAGACAATTCCCAAAGCCGGTTTATTTTCTAACTTCGGTGACTTCATTGCTTGTTTTTTTTTTAATGAATTGAAAATGTGTAAAGTTTTATAATACAGGAGCTCATTAACAGACCTGTTTGTTAATCCTCCCTGAAATCTGCCTACTACGTTGTCACCCGGAGGCCAAACGCAGAAAGCACTTACGATTATGCATCTCAGGAAAACAATAACAGCATGTCGAGGAGGGTTACTGAAAGCTAAAAATCAGCAGTTCCTTCCTACACCTCCTCCAGGGTTTTGGGTGTTTGAAGCCATTTCTGAGAAACGTGTACTTTAGTAGTCAGTCTTTAAAAATGGGTTACTAACACATTTAAGGAATATCTGTGGCTCAGGTAAGGAGATCACAAGTCTCTATCTTAACCTCTGCTCATATGCTCAGTTGACACTGTAGTGCAGTCAGGGATGCACAGAACAGTTGGGAAGAGTGGTGAAGAAGTGTTGAATTTCATTAGCTGGAGACACTGAGGATTCACTCATTCAGCCACTGTCTTAGCAGAGCAGGATGCAGAGTGTTCCTGTGTGCATCAGGCGGATTACTGTCCTGGACCTGAACATTAATATCAGGCTCTAATCCAGCTGAGCACTGTGATTCATACAGCAGTATGAACCTGGGTCCATGCTCATCGTTTTAATAATGAGCGATGGAATGTGTAACTGAATTGGTGAGTCAACGTGTGCCATGCTGAATTTACTGATTCAATGAGTTTTTCCTTTCTGAAAAGTGACTTCCCATTTCATTTTCGTGTCATCAAACAAAATACTGCAGAATCTGTGTCAAAACTGAAATAAATACTATTAACCAAAAATGTACAAACTTAAGGGTAACAGACAGTCATGGTCAGCATTATTAGAAACTTTGAGATTGAAACCAAAGATAGCAATTTAATTCAATTTGAGCAAAGCTGCAAGTTAGAGACACTGCGGAGGGCTTTAAGGATAGTTCATCACTTGTATCTATTATCTTTACTTGTTATTAAGTCAGACCTGGACTCCTTCCCAGAACTTTGCTGACCCATTAATGATATATATATATATTACTCCCAGCACTTAAGGAACAGCGAAAGTGGAAGTAAACGAATATTACTGTTCGTTCTTCCCTGAAGTCTTTGGTTGATGTAGAATGTCTAGGTTCAATCTAACATTCTCATTCTTGAACCACAGAATCACATTTTAATTTCTTCAATGGGGAGGATTGAGGTCCTTGACAGCCTCTCACATAGTTTTTGTGCCCTTAATTTCAACTCCAGTCCCTTACCTCTGACTTCTGGGGGTAATTGTGTTGAAGGCACTCTACTGAATCTGTCACTGAGTATTTAAAACAGTCTGCCAGTGCTCACAGACTGCTTCCCTTGGAAAGCTGGTAAATCAGAGCATTTTTTTATTTTTATTTTGCAGAAAGACACCCTTTTTCATTTGATTTTGTTCTTCTGTTTTTACATCTATTGCATTTGCAGTTTTGGTCTTGTCATAGTCCTGCAGCACTGAGTTGTGAAGCTTATGTTGTGCACTTTTCTTTAGTATTGAGACCCTTCTGTATGCATTGTAAAGACCGGTTCTGTGGCACCACTGGCGTGTGCAGACTAGAGCACATATAAATCTGTGGTTGGAAGACTTAGAGGAAAAGGGAATGGCAGTCCTTTGTTTTTTCATGAGTGGGTCATTTCCAAATGTCTCTGGGTAAACCATTCAGTTTTACTAAAAAGTACATGTTTGATTTTTTATGGAGGTCAGTGTGATTCTACTCAGCTCAGTTTGTAGCTGAGAGAAATGTGCAGCTGCAAGGTGCGTCTCCACCCTCCTGCTGCTGTGATACCAACTAGAAAGCCTCCCTCATCTTTGCTCCCTTGAGTTGAGGACAATAGTGGGTGTGATGGTGTCCTGAAGTTTCTAGAATCTCAAAATCCTGGGTGGCCCACATGAATTTTCATCTACTATTTCTTGTGGGATATTGCTTTCTCTTAAACAAAATGAGAGACTTCGCCACAGATGCAGGAACACTTTCCTCGCAGCGGCTTTTAAAAAAGGCTGCATTTTAGCTGCAAATCCTCTTTCACGAAACGGTTCTTGTTCTATATTATCTGAAGTAACTGTTTCGCCTACCTGTGCTCAGAAACCCTCCGATGTAGCACTGCCTGGCTAAAAAGACATATTGCATGCCCTCTGTGAAAAGCAAAATTAAAGATAAAGTGAAAAATATTGATGTGTGCAACCTGGAGCTGCCCTTATGGATGGATAAATTATTCAAGAATCTGTCTATTGCTTTATCTGAAACATTTCTATGAGAGAAATTGAGGGAGATTCATGCCCTTATGGTATTGTTCTTATTTACTTGCAGTCTGCTTCTGAATGTCTCTATTAAATGTCAGTAGTGGTATCTATAATGTATGTTCCATTAAATCTGTTTAATGACCACTTTGCTTTAACACGTGTAATGGCTGACTTTTTAGGATTTTAATGCATTAAATGTTGATCATTATTTTAAAGAGTATTTTCAATGTATTGAAATGATTCACTCCACATTTAAAACTGCTGCTCTGGAGACCACATTTGCACTTTAGGGGAAACTGTCTGGAGTCACTTCATTTTTCAGATTTGCTTGTTGTCCCGTAAATTAGCTAAAGGCATGTGATAACATGTAAATGACCTACTTTGCACACCTGTTTTTCACACTTTTACCTTGAATCAAAACAAATTGTAAGATCTGTATGATTTATATTTTGTCCTTTTGTGTCTGGATCATGTGCCATTGTCTCCACGTTTGTTTTTACGAGCAAATAGTTTTGAATTTCACTCATGTGAACACATCGCAATCCCTTTACTGTACGTCTGTCTGCATGCTCTTATCTCGTAACGTTACCCGAGTGTCTTTCAGGTGGCTGTTTATTGCTCAGGCCACTAGTCTGGGTCTGTAGTTTTAAACTATTTCTCACCCGTTTTTCAGATCCCGATTGTAAACTAGGCAGGAAGGCTGAGGATGGCGAAGGAGGCGATCTGAAGAAAAGGCTGGTTTCTCTGGAGGAGGGGGAGGAGATAGAAGAGGAAGCTCTGCACAGCTGTGACAGCTGCCTCCAGGTGTTCGAGTCGCTGAGCGATCTCACTGAACACAAGATTAATCAATGCCAGCTGACAGGTAAACAATACTTAACACTCCGCAGCTTCTACCACTTGATGTATCTTTTTGTTTAAACATTTTCTGATAGATTTTGTTTTGCTGGTAATAACTGATAGAAAGGTAGTCTCGTAAGCTCGAAAGTCGGCCTTTTATTTTTATAGCTACTTTAGTTTTCTTTGTTTAAGCAGAGGTTCCAGCACGTTGTTTTTCAGTGGGAATGCCATTGGCAGGATGTAGGGTTAGATTGTCTGGTTTGTGTTTCTAAAAATAAGCTCCATGATAATGAAGTGGCTGGGCAAGAATTAAAAATGGCAGTTAACAGTTTTCAGCTGCAGTTGTTGGGGTCCTTGTGCAGGCCGTTCTTTCTGCTTAAGACCTCCCTTGGCCAGAACCACAAACTGTCATTTTGAGTTGTTTTTGGCAGGAACCACTTTTTAGAAAGCAAAGCCATTTTCCATTGTGCTCTTCTCTCGGTGAAGCCAGTATCGTATTAAAATTTAATCTGTCAAGTCCCAAGGTTTTTCCAAGTATATTTAAACTGCCTGGATGGTTACAGTCATACATTACTATATGTATGTAAGTAATTGAAAGCTGTCTTTTAACACAGAAGGTGAACCTCTGTATATAGTTTCTGAATAACAGGCTTAAATGCAGTACAAAAGCTTACTGTAGGAGAATGAATGCATTCCTGCTTGGTGGTGTAAATCTTAAATACATAGATACAAGTATTACATTTATATTCTACATTTCCTTTGATATACAGCATGTTTGTATGGGCATAAATTCAGATTCTCATATCTTTCAGTACTTTTTGCTATAATTAAATGTTTTGTTTTACTGAACTAGATATTTTAACTCCGGTCAATTTTGCATTGCTGTGTTTGTGTTTTAATGCTCAGTTTATCTTTTTCATTCCTGTTTTGGCTTTTTTATTTGATAGAATTTCACCTTCAAGGTTGTCTAACCATGGACTCTGCCTACTGCCAGTCTATTTGGTATTGGTTTGCCAGTGGAAAGTTGGGTTCATTGTAGGATGAGCAAACACCGTTGATATGTAACACACCAGCAAATGATTTAATGTGACCTCATTCTGACTAAAAGATAGGAAAAATAAGAAGAATTTACAACTCCATGTATCCAAATAACTCTTTTGTGCTTTCGATGATTCCCTTTTTTCCATGTAATAATAGTTTTATTGTTATTGGGTGCTGAAAATATTTTAGTTTTAAAAAATGTGGAGTGTATATGAGTATGAAATATGCTGCCTATTTTATATCAGATTCAGCATTTAAATGAAGTAAATTAGCAAGATGCATATCCTATCCATCTATTTTCTCAAAGAGCTGTACTGTACATTATCTTAGGTTACCAGCTGGTGAAGAGATGCCTGTTGTGCTTAATACACATTGTCCTAGTTTGTGTAAAAACACCCAGACCACAGTTAGTAGATATTAATAAAATGTGTTACATCAGTTCTGGCTCATCCTTGTTTCAAGATTGTGCATACCCTCCTTGCTAAGCTGTAGATTCCTTAATTGCCTACCTGTACTCTTAGATCTTCCTCTATGGGTCTCCCTGCAGTTCCTGAAGTCAATTGGATATCTGTTGCAGGGGCTGCTTTTTTAATAACATTGCATTAGAGCTGTGGATTAGCTTGGCATCGAGAGCAGTCTTCAGAAATGTTTTAAGCAGTGGCTAAAGATTTACTTTTTTATGGGTAGTGTCATTGGCCTGGGCTGCAGACTACTGACTTACTAGTGCTGTTGTTAATGGTTTTAGTGTTTTTCTGTTATAGTTTATTGTTCATTTAATTTTGGTATTTTAATGTAATTTTACTTCTTTTCTAGCAGTTTTTGGGGATATCTTAAAATAAAGTTTATGAGTAAACATTTAATCAGTTTGCGAAATTAGCTAATTGCCTTGACAATAAAAAAGCACAGATTCAGAAAGATATTGCACAAAGATGTTCATTTGGTTTGAGGAAATCAGAATGGAAAGATGTTCTGTTTCAAGCTGTCATTAGGTTGGCTTGTTTTGGTGTTTTGGCTTGTTTGAATAAGGATTTTAAATAAATTCTTAAAAAGACAGAATATACAGTAATTTAACAGATTTATTCATTATGTATCAGTTTAAGGGCTATTTCATTATATGACAATAGATTGTTTTATTTAATTCCCCCTTAAGTATTAGTGCTTACTGTGCTGTACATTTACAAACTATTTATTTTTTCCCATGTTTCTCCTTCCTGCTTAATATTTGAGGTCTGGCTTCTCAGTGCCTGTTCAGGTATAGCTGAATGGATTAACTGGAGGTGCCAGAGTGAAAACACGATTAACAGTTGCTACTGTCAACATAGAAAAAATGTGTGTGTCTTTTTCACAGAAAATTTCTGCTGTAACAAGTGTGGCAAAAATGATCATCAGTGTGGGATAACCTTTCTCCTCTTTAAGTCTGTTGACATAAAACAAAAAGACATTCTGCCTAGAACTTAGGTCCTAAACCTCTTCTATGATGTTTCATTTTGTAATGAAACGGACCAGTTTAAGGCAAAAGTAAAGGAAAATATTGTGGGCAGGATATCAAGATGAACTGAGAATAAGCATAGAAGAACGAAGCTATACCTGTCTAATGGTTAAAAGGTTCTCAATTAAAATGGCAGAAGATTACTTGTTCGAAAACGTTGTACACCTTAACATACAGTACTATGAGGATACACATTCTTCTTATGTTGTTTTAGAGGCTTCGTACAGTCCGTCAGGAGCTCCAGTTAAATAGTGATTCCAGTCTTGCTCTATTGGACAATAACTCAAGTGTTATCTGCTGTTTGCTGGGCACCTCTGAGCTGTGTTCTGTGCCATTGTGGCACCTGGACCCTTTGAGATGTTCTGTATGTGGAGCTTCCTCCTGGTCTTCATCACGTCGTACTTCTGTGTGGCTTAAAGTGATTTTACTTGTGGAGTCCTTTGATATGAAACTCAGAGGAGGGGGGTATTCACTTATTGGGTAGCGATGGAATTTGACTCAGGAGGGTCTCAACAGGACGAAAAGTCCTGTGCAGAGAACTGTCAAAAAGCCAAATTCTCATACAGTGTCTAACCATGTTCACCCTCATACTGTCCATTCTGTACTACAGTGTATACTATGGGTAAAAGACTAACGTAACCCTCTGTTATTTGAGCATTGAAGTATGAATGCATTGGCTTTAAATTGGTTAAGAAAATAACTATAACAAAATAATTTAATAAGTAAAAAGGGGGAATCAGATATTTAGAGTATTCAGGTAAAATAAAGAACATGAATCCCTCCCCCACGTCCAGCGGATACCTGCTGTTTCGCTCTCTGCCTCTGTGATTAACACACCTGCCCTCTAATGAAAAGGGCTCTGAAACTGTTGGTGAGCCTGTACAGTTGTCTCCAGTTTGTAGTTCTCCACATCTCCGACTTGGAACTGGGAGCCGTTCAAGTGGGTACTTGAGCAGGGCTCTCTCTCCAGCTAGATTCATCTCTCGATCCTAGTCTGGAGTCTGTTGCACAGCTAATATGAAAGCTGTGCTTTCAACCCTCAGCTTGGATTCAGCAAGCCTGTTGACCAGACTGAGTTGTGAATACATGAATTTGCAAATGTTAAATATTGAGACCCTACTGTACTTGTTTTGCCTTTGATTTATTACCTTTGGAAAATTAAAATGAATAAAAATGGGTCCTGCTAAGTAAGCACTGTGTCTGGCACCAGTGGAAACTATTACCATTAAAATTCAATACACTTTATGAACAGATATTTCACGAATGCTGTAATTGCACTTTATAAAATTTAGTACTTTCCAAATACTCATGCTATGTGTAAGGAAAGGTAACATCTTTTGACTATTTAATGCCATTGTTTAACAATTTAACACATTTTAATGCCAAACTGTATACAGACCTGTATAGTTTAAGTACAGTATATCACAGGGTACCACTGAAACTGCAGGATAAGTCAAAGTGATGAGCTTGTACTCATTTGTTCAGTAAAATGTACAATTTCCATTTATTGATGTTCTGAAAAATCAGACACATGATGGAATAAAGGTTTTAAAAACATGTCTTGAAATGAATTCACTGTTTATTGCAATGTGAATTCACTTGGAACATAAAAAAGCAACATAACTTATTTTCAGTCAATTTTGTGTACGAGTTCCTCCCAGTCTGTCAAGGGTAACACCTTTTTATCCACTGTAGTTTTCAACACTGCAATGCACCAAGAAAAAGGATTGTATAGATTATCTCGTGTCCCCGATGCAATTGGTGCTATTGATTGCGCTAATGTGGGACTGTGGGCAGGCAAGTGCCTGGGAGAAGCTACTAGAAATCCCCGCTGGAGACTCTTCTGATACAGACAGGAGTGGGGTTTTGAAAAGGTAGCCAAGATGCTCAGCGCCTGTAGGATGCCTGTGGATCAAAATTTATTGTAGAGATCAGCATCCTGCTGTGAGGGATAAATCCCCCATGAGAAGAGGAAGTAAGTTCTTTCTTTGAATGCCCTTCTTAAATATTAACAGTTCCTTTGTTTCTACCAAGGTGCCATTTAAAAATACATATATATATATTTTGTTGTGTTCCTCAAGTACAACGTGTTATAGAAACATCTTGGATTCCACTGTGGAATGGATGTTTGACATCTTAACAGTGCTTAGAAAGGTGAAGACACAGATGGAGAAAAGCAAAAAAAAAGGTGAATTAGAGATGGTGAGGGGCTTTACCTAATCGAAAGGAACGTAAGATCGGTTTCAGATCAGGAGAGGCCAATTCAGCCCATTTAGCTAATTTGTTATAATAGTAGTAAGTGGATCCGAGCATTTCATCCAGTTGTTTCTTGAAATAGCTTGTTCCATGCTCCTACAACCCTTTGTATAAAGAAGTGCCTCCCATTCTCAGTTTTAAATGCATTTCCTGTCATTTCAACTCGTGTTTTCTGGCTTGTGGTTCACTGTTGAGTTTTTCTTGTAGTCTTCCCAGAAATTATTCAGTTCCTGAATTGATTTTTGTTGTAAAAATCACCTTTTATTATATTTTCTTTCTGCTTTCTTTCCAACATTTTTAGGTAGATTTAATCCATGGCCATGCTTTTGTGAATAATACTTGCTGTTATTTTTGGATCAGTTTGGCTGATCTAGTGATTCTGGATTTTTAACTGTCCAGGTCCTAGTTTGGTCCACTTCCCTCAGTTGTGTCTGCAGTACTGCAGTTCAGTCACAGCCACAGTGCAGTATAATTGAATGCATGGTAGTGTTTTGCATACAACAACTTTGCTGTACGTTAGCAGGCTTTTAAATAATTTGTTGTATTGATTCATATAGCTAAGTATACTTAGCATAAAGGATAAAGTGTACGGATTTTTGGGGTATTGATTTAGTGTTTCTGGCATCATTGTTTTTATTAATCATCCATGAAAGACGTGGTAAACCACCTCATTAATGATAGTTAATTAGGTACAGGAAATTGGATGATCTAAGCTATTGAATGTCAAGCCTGTTAGAAATGAAGAAAGACAAACACAGAAAGGAACCAATATGTCCCACTAACTGTATAGTTCTCTTGACATGTCTGAGGCTAGACTGTCACTTCAGGTGGAGTCACCTTCAGGTGGAGGGCATCATGTCCTCTTTAGGAATGATTCCAAGCTTTGTGTAGAGCACCCTGGTGAACTTCAGTGAATGTGTTCACAGAGAAGCAGAGTGATACACTAGCCGATGCAAACATAAAGTGATTTGTAAAACAGAAGTGCAGGATGGGGGAGGTTCAAGTATGATGGTCTGGGCGATCAACCCCGTAGATAACAAGTGGTCATTAATATATTGAATTTACATTCTGTTTACAGTCACGTCTGTTCAATTAAAAGCCGGTGCACCTGGTACCATTTTGCATGTAATAACTTTGTGAATTTGTTGCCGTTGTAAGTGATAAGTATGTTTTGATGTTAAGTATATGAGCAGCATGAAATAAATCTATCAGACACACTAAAATAGATTTTTTTATGATGTGATATTATATATTCCATTCTATACAATGTTATCTGTGTACACTGTTGGGACATCATTTTGAAAGGGCTTTTCCCTTGAGCTCCACCTGTTTGTTTTGTGTGCTTAATTTAAAAATAAAGTCAAAATCTTCAGATAATCTTCTGGACCTGTGATTTGAACCTGTTGTGTATTGACCTTTAAATAAGTGCCTTTTACTGTTGCTCTCCTTGATGTCTAAAATCCAGACAGGCTCCTTCACCTCAGATGTTTGCATGAAAAGTAAAAAGGTGAAATGATGCAATGCATAGCAGATTAAAGGTGCATTATTTTCACATGTGACTTCATGTTGGAAATGAGTTCAATACAATGAATTAATATAATAACTTGTACACCCTACATATGTTTGTTTTGTTCTGATCAAAAGCCACAGTTCACACATTGGTGTCTCTTGCAGATGAAAAGTTACTTTAGTTATAACAGTAATTGAAACATTGAGTTAATTAACTACTGATCATTAGACATTAAGACATTTATAATGATATAAAACACATGTTAAGGTCATGAAGTTTATCACTCAGGAACACTTTCCTAAAATCAGCTTTTGACAGTAAGGCCATTGTAAAAAAAAATCAAATTTCAATTTCCTCTGTAGCTTTTTCCACCTTACGGGCTTGACAGTTTTTACTGGCATTGCTCAATCAGAGCGAGCTGTAAAAATGAGCACGGAAAACAAATGCATTTTTGGTGCAGGAACGTGATTTGCTTCCTGTCTACTGTAAAGGGTCAGGAATCTGGGAATGTTCTCCGGTGCCTGAAATAATAAAGGTACAAACTGCTGGCGGATTGCAGTGAATAATTGTGTCCCATGGTTTTTCATTCACTCACACTGAGCAGTTTTTCACTTGTTTTTACATTTTGAAATCTTTTGCCATGCTGAGTAAAGTTGGTGGTTAAAGCTCACAGAACTATTTATATTTTTGTAGCAATTCTTGTAAGGTAAAATGATAAAACCTGTATCTCTAACCTTTTCTTGAAGATGTATATCATGAGTAACACTTCAGTTGATTGTCTTTGTGTTGACTGGAGTTCAGCTGTGCCATTGTCGAAATGCCATGTCAGTGAAAGTGAACTGAACGCTGTGCAAAGTTCAGGGGACAGTTGCGGTCTGAAGCTCACCCAAGGCTTGTGAATGATTTCCATGCCACAGTGAACTTGCAAACACACCCTCTTGTCATTCTAGAAGGAAATTGTGTTGTTCCTGCATTCATGGCATCACCCAAACACATCCCCTGTATTTTTACCAGTGCTGATAATGATAACATTAGTGAAAGTGGCATTATGAATTCTAAGCAGATGTACCCCACAGGACCTGGCTTCCTTTCCCTGAAGCTCCCTATCTTATATTAAGCACTGTATAAAGTATTTATTGCTCTTTTTGAGTGTGGCACAGCAGTTTCTAAAGAAAATTGGGGACTTCATTTCCATTGCTTGTAAAATGCAGTATTCGATGCTAAACTGAACAGCAATCTAGTGTTCTCTATTGTTTCCATTTCTGCTATTTTTTTTAGATTTCAGAAATGAAACATCGGCATAATTCGTAGCTCCAGGCAGAATCCCATGCTGTGTTTTTAGTATTTATTCTGATAGCTGTATCCATATCCTTCTGCAGCGGGAGATCTGTGGGGCTGACCAACTCGCACGTTGCTCCCCATGGCAATTTAGTTACTAACCAAATAGGTTTCTCCCACCCACTAAACCGTTTGAATAATCCCTGGTGGGGAATCAAAATCACCACCTTCCAGTTGAAAGACTTCTGTGATTATCAGTATGCCATACCGCTAATATGGTTCCTTTTCATGTGATCTCATTTAGTCTAGTTACTGCACTAACAGACATTTCACTCAAGCTATTGCCTCTTTATTTTTTTTTATTTTTTGGTTCGTGAACTCACACCTTCTTTAAAACTCTTTTTCTAAATTTTTTTAAATCGTCAAGTCTCTCGTGGTTATAATGCTGTGGCATCATACTCAGACTTGCTTTCCTCAGCACTGCCTTTTCAAGTCCTTTGTTCATATCCGAACAGGCTGTAATGCTTTGTGCTTTTCAGAGGAAAGCATAAGAATGTGATATTAAATCTTAATCAGTCTGCGTCTGCCCGTTTGAATTGCGGTACGTGTTAAGCTGGTGCTTTTCCCAGATTCATGCTAATGGAACTGGAAAACAATTTAATAATAGAAATCTTTCACTATTTCTTACACAAGTGACACTGACTTTGACATGGTGAAACCAGAAAAATCTTTTGCAGCTAATTCACTGTTATGAAAGCTGAAACTTTTCCAGTGAGGATGGGGTTTTTGCATAAGCAAGGACCCTAGGAAGGAAGCACCTACTCTTGTTTTTGGCCTAAATACTGTATATAACTTGAAGAGCATGTTAAGAAGATGTGTTTGCAGGTGTTTTTAGCATTCATTTGGATATGCTGAATGAGTAGTGACTGGATTTCATCTCACCTGTACGTTGTATAATCTGTGCCCATTCTGAAGCTCCTGAATATAGGAAGGCTAGTAATTAGAGATAACAGCTGTTTGCAGATGGAAAATGGCAGAGAGATGCCAGATGTTACATTTTGGGGGCTGCTTTGTAGAGCAGTCAAAAGTAGTAATTACAAATTAATTTGTAGACTGGTATTGCATCTATTGTAGGATGCTGCTGGGTGAAAATGGAGGCAGTTGTTAAGGGGGACAGTTGTAGAAATGCCGGTTTATCTCAAAAGACAGGGTTGAAGTCTGCCAGTAATTTATTTCTTACCTTGTGTGGGGCTGCAGTGCTATTAATGCCAGTCAGGTTATGTGCATAGATTCAGGAAAATTCTTTATTCCTCATTGACTCCTGACAGTTATTGTACCTAGAAACTGGGTAACGTGTTCTGAAGTGAGCAATTATGGAAATGTTTACTTCACTGGCTGCATGTAAATGTGCACTGAGAATGTACTAGAATTCTTCCTTAGGGGTGTTTAATTCTCTTTAGGGCCACCGAAATCAAATGATTTCTTTTCTTTTCAAATGTTTTTTATTCTTTGAAAAGTGCTCGAATGCAGCTGAATAATGATGAATGTGTTGTGGAGAAACACCAGTACAATTAGGAAAACAAATCTTAAGGTGGAAACCTATTCAAATAAAGTGAAAGCATTTTTTTTCTGCCTTAGAAGATCTTTAACTTTTTTTTGTAAGAAACTGTAGGAAAAACAAATGCAGTTATCCCTATTAGGTTTCTTTCCAATTTTGTTTTCTATTGGAGAGTTTATTCTTAAAATACTGGGTACAGTCTGTATTGAGTCAGATGACAGGCTTCAGTTCTTTGTGAAGAGGCACAGTAGTTTGTACCACAGGTCAAATGTACAGGATACATTTTATGCTTCCTCTGCAGTCTTTATTATTTTCTGTATTGATCTCTGGCCAGTATATATTGATATTTTATAGTTTTCTGTACTATATAGATTATATACTGTTTGATTACACTTAAATCAAATGGCACAACAACTAAACTATAAGTGGTGAAAAAAAATGTACGATTTCTGGGACAATAAAGGGAGATGGCTAATTGATTAAATAAGTATTTCCGTCAGTTGTTCACTGAGAACAAAGTCAACAGTTCATAATTAAAACAGTATTAACATAAAAGTGGCAGAAGTATTTCAGGTATAAGCACTCAAGATTAATATTCCCATTGCGCGATAACAATTGTACTTAAGGAAGCAAGAGATGTTATTCATAAGCTACTGACACAACTCTTCCAGCAGTTGCTCAAGACAGGGGTGGTACCCACGGAGCAGAAAACTGCTAATGTATTGCCCATCCACACAAAGGGAGATAATACCAACCCAAAAAATCAAAGGCCGATATATTTCACCATGTTGATCTGGCGTCCCGTCCAGGGTCCACCCCCCTTGTGCTTGTTGCTTGCTGGGATAGGCTCTGGCTCCCCGGCGACCCTGAGTTGGATAAAGTGGTTAGTAAATAGGTGAATGTTTGACTTCAATTAAATGTTAGGTTATGGAAAGAATTATTAGAATTAAACTTGAGGATCAGCTATATGGAAATAGAATCCTAGGGTTAGTTTTGATTTTAGGAAAAGTCGGTCTTGCTTAACAGTAATGGACACACACAGAAGATGTCATAAGGTTTTGTGGCATTTCGATTTTCAGAAGGCTTTTGATAAAGTTGCTCAATAACGATTAATTTGTAAATTACAGGCTTTGTGCATGCTGGGAAATGTGTCTATTTAGATCAAGAATTACAGTAGTTATTAGAAAACGGAGTACAGATAAGAGGTAGATGTTCAGGTTGGGGTGAGACGATTGCTGTAGTACCACAAGGATCAATACTAGGACCACTGCACTTCCCAGTTTATATCAGTGATCAGGACTCTAGCATAGGTAATAAACTGATCATGTTTGCAGGTGATATCAAAACAGGATAATCAGCAAACATTATACACTCATCCCTCGTTAACAGACTACTAACGAGTACTTGCTAAAACGAGCGGTGCACATATCTGTGTATTTTTGTTAAATGAGCGAGCATGTTCCAAGCATGTGGGCCATTCTTTCATTTTTAGTTTTTGCTCCTCTCAGCTGCTGTTATCCTAACTGTCTTAATAGGAATTGTAAGTATCATACTAGTTGTCGTATATATAATAATATATTGAATGCATAATGTGTAAAATTACTATTGATTCAAAAATGTTAACTTTTCCTACAATTAAATGTTTTATTTCTATTATGCACACTATGAATGAACAGTATTGATGGCATCCGACAGCTTGATGCTCTATCTTAACCTTACGGGTTTTATTCTGTCTTTGAGTGCACAAGAGTTATCAGATAACATCATAAACAATTTTTGTTTAGTAAGACATTTAGATTAGTTTGTAGATTATTGTTAATGTGTGCTAAAGAGATCATGTGAATTTTATTTCTCCAAGTAACTGCTTCACAATACATTTAAACATAATAGCTTGGATAAAAAAGAAGTGTCAGTAACTTTTATTTGTCAGAACATAAACTTAGAAATGTATTATGTCAAACATATTAGGCAGTACTTAAACACAAATGATTTCTTTCAACCTATGAGAACTTGGAGTACATCTGAGACTTTTACATGTACTGTATATTAATGGGAATGTGGTGTGGATTTGACAAGTTTTCACCTATGAGCAGACATTTTTGAACCAGTTGTGCTCCTATAGCGAGGGATGAGTGTAGATATCACCTCAAATCCGAGCAAACATGGCAGATGATGTGCAACATATTACATACAGTTGGCAAAAACATAAATACAGATACAAAATGGTTAATGCTGAGCTTGAAGAAGCTGATTATGCCAAAGAATTAGGTGATCATGTTGACACATCATTTACACCTTCAAGACAAGGCAGGGGTTCAACGATGTTAGGGTATAAAAATGCCCAATATCTGATCTAAATCTATCAGTGGATAATAAACTAATAAGTATAGATTTCACATGTAAAAAGCTACCCGGTCATACTTTTTAACAGGACATAAGACCAACCTGACAATATTTTATTATTTTGTATGGCTAAAAATATACAAAATTCAGATTCTTTCTGATCTTTTCTGGTTTGGTTATTTGGTAAGAGAAAAAAAGTTATTAGTGATTAGAATAATTACATTTTAGCACATCTTCAGGCTGGGGGCAGTGGCTGAGCCAGCAGTTAGCCAGCAGTTAACCTGGCCCAGTGCACCTCTATCAGCAGTCCCCCCTCCTCCGCCTTAAGTATTAGCACTTTCTTAAGCATTTTTCTGTTTGGTGGAAATGCTGGAACACCTACTTAGGGAAGAAACAGCCATTTAGTAGCACCTTTATTAGCGGATGATTTTTATTATAGTGTTATGTCAAAAATGTATTCAGATATTGCACACATCTCAAAATACAATAGTAAGTATGTTCACAACTATTAACTATTTTAATTTTCTTGACTGTATATTTGCATAAATGTTCTTCATCCCTGAAATACTTTTGATCTATTTACAGTAAAGCATGCTATTTTTCAGCTATTTGCAGTTAATAAACTATTAATTTGTGTAA